CAGGAAAGGACTCTCCCCATTTACTTACTCCCCTTCCAGAACTTTCAAGTGGATATCTGCTGGCCATTTGAGTCCTGCCCCAGAGCTCCAATGCCTTTTTCCTGGTTGTCCTCCTCCTCACTAGAAAGTACCCGAACCCTTTCACACTCTTCCCACTCCGTAGCTTAGACACAAAGGAAGAAGATTGAGGAAATTCTCCTAACACAGTCAGACCAGGCCGAGAGGAGCTGGGCCATGAAGATTCCCCACCCACCCCTGAATTAGAAAGGGTCTTCGAGAGGAGAGGGGGGTCAGAGAGGGGCAGGTGAGTATTGCCTGTCTTAGGTTAGGTTCCCCAAAAGCAGAGCCTGAGACGAGGATTCATCTGCAAACAACGTTTAAAGGTGTGCTCTATGGAGGCCTGCGACCGTCCTATGGAGGAGGGAAGCAGGCCAGGGTGGTGGAAGGAGCGAGGCCAGCATGGGACCTCGGCAAAGTCTAGCCCCGGCTGATCCAACAGGGAGCTCTAGAGGGTGAATGGCACCAGACTTATCCCCTCATAGGGGATGACTTTTACACCCCTGTATCAGGCATTCACCATGTATGGGCTGGCCCGCCAATGCCCTCGGAGGCTGGGGGTGTGGGCAAGGGGACTTAGCCCCCAAGTGTTTGCTGGAGAGGGGGCAGGGGGAGCACTTAGCAGCCAAGCCCCTGCTGCTGCAGGAAGCTGTCCCAGCTGGAACAGGGGCTCTGAGCAGGGTACCTGCAGCCTCTGCTGTTACCTCCCACCAGCTCCAGGCTTTGTTTCTACCTCTGCCTTCAGGGAGGGCATCTGAAGTCACCTACTGATTTCCCCGAGCTCGCCTGGGCACCAGTGACTCAGCAGAACCCCAGAGAATTCACTCTTCCAACCCCGGAGAGGTTAGCAGCCAGCCTTAGGATTCGCTCTGCCAGCCCTTTGCCTTGCCTGAAGTTTTGGGGCAAGGACAACCTAAGAGGAGGAAGGAGAGAGCACCCGTTGTGTCCAGAGGAGCCTCCATTTTAGCTTCAGAGATGCTGGACATGCTGGGCATTTCTGTGGCGTAGGTGTGGGGTCTGAGGGATGGTTTGGAGCATTCAGCCAGCTGCTTTCCTCAGGCCCGCCTGCAACTTCTGCAGGCTTGTGGT